AATCCAAAGCACCCCATGAAAAGATGTTCCTGCCAGGTTTGTAAGGCAGGAGGAAGAAAAACTTTGCCTTAGGGAAACTTCGCAGCAGGTGGGGCCCAACCCAAAGAGATTCCAGAGGGAGGGGCCGAGGGCAGGCATGGCTGCAGCGCACCCTTTCCTTGCCAAAATCCCAAACACATGCCTGAATTGAGAGCCTTCCCCAAAGCGGCAGGAGAATCTGTCTCCTACCGGGGTGCCCGGAGGGACTGAGAAATACAGTGGACGCTGGCCAAGCCAGGCTGTGTGAATGAAGTCTGTCCGTCAGAAACTGGCTGTTAATCGTGTGTCTTTTGCTACTTCATCTAGGGGTCAAGACAAAGGCGTTAACTTGGGGGGAGGGATAGCTCAGTGGGTTGAGCAGTAGCCTGCTAAACCCAGGGTTGTGAGTTCAATCCTTGAGGGGGCCATTGGGGGATTGGTCCTGCTTTGAGCAGGGGGTTGGACTAGAACCTCCTGAGGTCCCTTCCAACCCTGAGATTCTAGGACATCTGCCAATGCTGATGTTTAATGGTAAAGCCTTTGAACATGTGGGACATACCTGATTTGTGGAAAAAACTGTAGTGCGTGCTAGGGATGGTGACAAGACAGTCCCACAAGCATGTTGCTTTTGAGTTTATACCTGTTGTGACGACGTGGGAATGTTCTTAATGTTTTCTCTGAATACTGGGTGGGTGCCTCAGTTTCCCCTATGCCTTTCTTAAGTATCGAGGTGGGGGGGATAAGGGGGTGTGAGTGTTGCAGAGCCCGAGAGGGAGGTGTGATGGGGTCGGCACAAAGAATGGCCGACCTCCTGGCAATTGATGGCCTGGGCCCCCCCGCAAGGTGCCAACTGAAGGTGTTGGAGAACAAAGAGATCAGGTGACCCTGGCCTGGGAAAGAGACAAAGGCCAGAGGAGGGGCTGGAGGGGGTTTCAGTTTTCGAGCTGGCTGGGGAAACAGAGGGAGGCCCAGAACCAGGGTCTGGGCTCCCCACCCCCCAAGATGGACCTGACGGAGGGGTACTGTTCTCTGTACTTACAAGCTGTGTTTTGGGCTGTGTTCCTGTCATCTAATAAACCTTCTGTGTTACTGGCCAGCTGAGAGTCCCGGTGCATCGCAGGAAGTGGGGGGTGCAGGGCCCTGACTCCCCCACACTCTGCGACACCTATAAACAGGCTGGAAGCCCAGCCCAGCAGCAAAAGCATAACAGGCCGATGCTGCTGTGTGGCCGGGGAAACTGAGGCACGCCGCCTCATGGCATTGGTGGCTAAATGCCAAGACACCTACACTTTAACAGATATTGCTATCTGCATTCTGTTATCAATACTGCACCCCAGGCACCCAGGGACCAGGAACCCAGAACTTTGCTAGAACACCTATAAATAACATCATAGGGTTTAAAAGGTACTGGGAGGGTGTGTAACCAGAGACAAACAGCGATTTTACACGTACTGCCTCCGCCACGTCCAAGTCTCCGACAGTAAGTTCAGGAGGAGGGGGTGATGTAGCACTCCATATGCTTCATAAAAATATGTTTGTAAGTGTGACTATGATGTAACTGGAATATGCTTCATGCAAAAGGTCTCTTGTAAGGCATCATTACAAAGTTTCTGATCTACTGAGTGTGATCATCCCATTTGTTTGCATGTGTTATTTCTATGTCTGGAGTTGGGAGAAGAAGATACAAACGTGTATCACTGATGTAAACATACTAAGTGGAAGCCGTTAAGGGTGCTTCAGATTCAATGAACTGTGAATGGCTCTGTTAACCTGCAAGCCTCCACTGCATACCTGCAGGGCAGTCCTGAGAAACCCCCTAGCTACCACCCGAGCTGGAACAAGGGCTGTACCGGGGAAAGGGATGGGCCCAGACTAGGAAGGCGTCTAGTCTGTGAAAGAAGCTTTTTGGAACATCTAAGGGTGAGATTTTACCTGTATTCAGTTTCTTAATGCATTAGGCTCAGACTTGTGTGTGTTTTATTTTATTTTTCATGGTGACTTACTTTGTTTTGTCTGTTATTTGAAATCACTTAAATCCTCCTTTTTATACTTAATAAAATCACTTTTGTTTACTAATTGACCCAGAGTAAGTGATTAATACCCAGGGGAGCAAACAGCTGTGCTTATCTCTCTATCAGTGTTATAGAGGGCGGACAATTTATGAGTTTACCCTGTATAAGCTTTATAGAGGGTAACACGGATTTATTTGGGGGTTTGGAGCCTATTGGGAGCTGGGTGTCTGGGTGCTGGAGTCAGGAGCACTTTCTAAGCTGTTTTCGGTTAAGTCTGCAGCTTTGGGAACGTGGTTCAGACCCTGGCTCTGGGTTGCAGCAGGCTGGCGGGTCTGGCTCAACCAGGCAGGGTTCTGAAGTCCCAAGCTGGCAGGGCAAACGGGCTCAGAGGTAGTTTTGGCACATCAGGTGGCAGTCCCAAGGGGGTCTCTGTGACCGAACCCATCACAGGGGGCACACACAGGGGCTGGATACACGGGAACCCCTGGGGGAGAGGATGCAGGGACCCCTTGGGGGCGAGGTGAGGAAACAAAGGAGCTGGGTACACACGGATCCCTCGGGGGGGGGGGGAAATGTAGGGGCCAGGGACCCCATACCCAGCGCAGAAACGCAATACCCTCGGGGGTAGCGTGGGGGCTGGGTATATGGGGCTCCTCGGAGGTCTCACACTCACCGCTGTCTCCTCCGGGGGCTCGTAGGTGAAGTTGTCGGGAAAGGCCTTGGCGAGCGCCAGGTGTCGGGCAGACATGTAATACTGGGGTGGGGGAGAAGACACGGGGGGTTATGGGGGGCTGGGCCAGGACCTCCCCATGCCCCGCCCCCTTCTGCCATCCCCACAGCTCCCCTCTGCCCCCCTCAGCCAGCCTCCGTGTCTGCCTCGGACAGCAGCAGGTTCTCCCCAAGGGGTCGGTTCCCATGGAGGCCGGGGAGGGGGGCCCGACGGGCATGGGGGGGGGGAACTCCACCACTCCATGAGCTATTCTTCCCCCCCGCCAGCTCTTCGCCCACATGGCCCGGCCCAGGGATACCCCACTCACCCAGCCCCTCTCCTACTCACCCGGCCCAGGTACTTCCAGTCCAGCAGGTCGGAGAGGCGCTCGGTCCGGTTGCGCTGGATGATACGCTGGCGCCGGCTCTGCTGACAGAAACTGTACAGGAAGGACGTCAGCTGGGTGCACGAATCATCCAGCGCCCGGAACCGTCGGTCCAGGATGTAGATCCCTGGGGGAGGGAGAGGGGAGGGAGTGAGAACCCAGGAGTCCTGGCTCCCAGCCCCCCTGCTCTAACTCACTAGCCCCCCGTCCCCTCCCAGAGCTGGGGCAGAACCCGGCCTCTATGTTAAATCTCGACCCATTTCTGAGCTAAGTCCGCTGGGAGAGAGAATTTAAACAGAAAAATGTGAACGATCATTGGGAACAGTCCCAAGAATGTTCTATTAGAGGCCTGAAAAGCCACAATCACGAAGATAGGTTAAAAAACCAACTAGGCTTATGGGGGAACTGACAGCAACTATACAAAATAAAGACAATATACAACAAGTGGAATGAAGGAGAAGGTGATAATAAAGCATTTCAATCAGAAATCAGGAAATTGTAGAAAATTGATAAGGGAAGCTGAAGGACACAAGGCGAAATCTATGACCAGCAGAGTTAAGGACAATAAGAAGGATGTGTTTGTTTTTTAGCGTATTAGGAACAAAATAAATCCTATATCTTGACTTTAGCAAAGATTTTGATGTGGTCTCCCACAGTATTCTTGCCAGGAAGTTGAATAAGTATGGATTGGATGAATGGACTATAAAATGGATAGAAAGCTGGCTAGATCGTTGAGTTCAACGGGTAATGATCAATGGCTCGATGTCTAGTTGGCAGCCGGTATTAAGTGGAGCCCTCCAAGGGTCGGTCCTGGGGCCAGTTTTATTCAATACCTTTATTAATGAGCTGGATGGTGGGATGGATTGCACCCTCAGCAAGTTCGCAGATGACACTAAGCTGGGGGGAGAGGTAGATACGCTGCTAGGGTCCAGAGTGACCTAGACAAATTGGAGGATTGGGCCAAAAGAAATCTGATGAGGTTCAACAAGGACAAGTGCAGAGTCCTGCACTTGGGATGGAAGAATCCCAAGAATCGCCTATCAGGGATGGTATAGACAATATTTGGTCCTGCCATGCGGGCAGGGGACTGGACTCGATGACCTCTCGAGGTCCCTTCCAGTCCTAGAATCTATGAATCATGCAGCGCTACAGACTAGGGACCGACTGGCTAGGCAGCAGTTCTGCAGAAAAGGACCTAGGGGTCACAGTGGACGGGAAGCTGGATATGAGTCAACAGTGTGCTCTTGTTGCCAAGAAGGCCAACGGCACATTGGGCTGCATTAGTAGGAACATTGCCAGCAGATCGAGGGAAGTGATTAGTTCCCTCTATTTGGCACTGGTGAGGCCACACGCATCCAGTTTTGGGTCCCACACTACAAGGAGGACGTGGACAAATTGGAGAGAGTCCAGCGGAGGGCAACGAAAATGATTAGGGGGCTGGAGCACATGACTTACGAGGAGAGGCTGAGGGAACTGGGCTTGTTTAGTCTGCAGAAGAGAAGAGTGAGGGGGGATTTGGATAGCTGCTTTCAACTACCTGAAGGGGGGTTCCAAAGAGGATGGAGCTCGGCTGTTCTCAGTGGTGGCAGATGACAGAACAAGGAGTAATGGTCTCAAGTTGCAGTGGGGGAGGTCCAGGTTGGATATTAGGAAACACTATTTCACTAGGAGGGGGGTGAAGCACTGGAATGGGTTCCCTAGGGAGATGGTGGAATCTCCATCCTTGGAGGTTTTTAAGGCCCGGCTTGACAAAGCGCTGGCTGGGATGATTTAGTTGGGGTTGGTCCTGCTTTGAGCAGGGGGTTAGACTAGATACCTCCTGAGATCTCTTCCAACCCTGATATTCTATGATTCCATGAATGGAGTTCATCCATTACTAGATGGACAGGATAGAATTGTGAATAACAACACAGAAAAGCAGAAGTGTTGAGTAAATATTTGTGTTCTGTATTTGGGAAAAAGCCAGATCACGTAGCCAGATCATATGATGATAAAACACTTTCCATTCCAGCAGGATCTTTGGAGGAGGTTTTGACGATGTGGGGGACTTTCTTGTTTTTCTTGTTTCCTATGGGGGATTTGCTTGGTTTTCCAATGGTTGGCATGCAGAGGGGGTGGGACTCAGTTTCCCTGGGTGCTACTGGTTTAACGAGGTGATGGGAGAGGGAGTTTATTGTTACAGAGGACCGGAGAGGGAACTTGGGACCCAGCCACTGGCGGGGAGAATGGAGACCCCAGCGACCGGTGACCTGGTGACCCGGAGACCCAGCTCAGGAGTCGCAGCCGGTTCTGGCCAGTGGGAGGACAATGGGCCGCGGAGAGAGGACCCCGGTGTCCTGACCAGCCGGTTCCGGCCAGAGGACGGAAGAGAGGAGAGGAGGCCCAGGCGATCTTGTTTACGACCCTGTTTCCCTGGAGAGAAGACAATGGACAGAGGCTGGGCTTGGGGCCAGTGATCTCAGATGCCCAGCTGGGAAGCAGGGGGGCTCTGGGCTGGAAAGGGGGAGCAGGAGTCCCTCTGGTCTAGAGAACAGGATGGGATCGTCTCCTTCGGGGGGTGGAGGTCCCGGGGGTCCAGAGCGAGTGGACTCCCTGAGGGGGCCCACGGCGAGAAACAGGTGTGCTAGGGCTCCGAGAGGTGCGGCTCCAGGAGGTGGAGGGGCCTGACCCCGAGAGAGAGTGGACCCCCGAGAAGGGCTGTCGCACTGAAAGGGGCACCCCCCACGGACCGCACGGGGCCAAGAGTGGGCACGAGCTGTGAGTCCGTGACAGAGGTTAAACAGCAGCAACTAAAGCTAGACATTTTAAAATCAGCATGTCCCAAAAACTTGCAACCCAGAGTTTTAAAAGAGCTGGCCGAGGAGCTCACTGGACCATTAATTTTCAGTAAGTCTTGAAACCCTGGGGAACTTCCAAAAGATTGGAAGAAAGCCAATCTGCGACCTGGGTAATTATAGACCAGTCGATCGGACATCGATCCCAGGCAAGATGATGACGTGGCTGATGTGGGACTTAAAGAATTGAAAGGGGACAACGTAATTAACTCCAATCAATATGGGACTATGGAAAATAGATCCCATCCAACTACTGTCACATCTCTTCTGGTGAAATTAGAAATTTGAAAGACACCGGTCATGGGGCTGATGTGACCTATTCAGACTTGTGTGGTGCTACACGACATTAAGATCAAAACACGAGAAGATAACACATTGACATGGCCCACGTTAAATGGATTAAAAACTGGCTAGCTGCTAGATCTCGCAGGGGGCACCGCTATCAAGCGGGCGGGTTTCTAGTGGGGTCTCGCAAGGCCCCTCGCTACTGAATGTTTTTATCAGTGACCTGAGGGAAAACATCAAATCCTCACTGATAAAGTTTGCAGACGACCCACATGCTGGGGGCGTGGGAACCAATGCAGAGGATGGGTCAGTGATACAGGGCGACCAGCTCGCTGGGTAAGCCGGGCCCAAGCAAACGCTGCGTGTTAATACAGTTCCGGCTAGGACCAGAGAACGCAGGCAGCACGTACAGGCTGGGGGGGGCCTCTCTCCTGGGGAGCAGTGTGGTGGGCGATCAGCGGCACCCCGTGGGTCCTGGGGCGTGTGAACGGGGAGATGGCGAGTCGGAGCATCGCCTCTGGAGCTGACCCTGGGGCAGCTGGGATCCTGCACCCAGCTCTAGTGTCCACATCTCAAGGAGGATGGTGGTAAATTGCAGAGGGGCCGGAGAAGAATGCGAGGGCCGGAAAACCTGCCTGCGAGTGAGAGACCCCTCCAGGAGCTCCGGCCGTTTAGGTGAGCAGAGAGGGGGGCGGGGGGGACCTGCGTGGGGAAGGGATCCCAGGCGCGTCAGTCTAGCACAGGCAGGGCTCACGCCTTCCTGGGGCCGGGCGTGGATGCTGGACGCATTCAGCCGGGAAATGAGGCATCTGTTTTGCCCAGGCTGGGGGATTGGCCAGAGAACAATTCCCCCAGGTCGTGGGGTAGGGGGGCCCGGGACTCACCGTAGGCCGACGGGTCGGCGATATGCTCTTCCATGAAGCAACCGAATCCGGAGAGGTTGGTCGAGATGCTGGGAATCCCCATGACAGTGCATTCAGCTGGCGGGGGGAGAGGGAGTGTTAGACCCGGGGGCGGGGGGCGGGGGGGAAACAGCTGGATGCACGTACCCCCTTCCCCCGCCCTTGTAGCCCGCTTCTGAACAACCCATGTCTGAAACCACAGAGCGTGATGGCCCCATGGACACCCACCACCTGGAGCGCGGGGGCTGGATATACGGGGCCCCCCCCTTGCCCAGCGCTGGGACACAGCCCCTCGGGGGTGGGGGCTGGTTATACAGGGACCCCTCATCCAGAGCTGGGGATAGAACCCAGGGGTCCTGGCTCCCCCCCCCCGTCTAATCACTAGACCAAACTCCCCTCCCAGAGCTGGGGATAGAACCCAGGAATCCTGGCTCCCAGCTCTCCCCTGCTCTAACCACTAGACCCCACTCCCCTCCCAGAGCCGGGGAGAGAACCCAGGAGCCCTGGCTGCCAGCCCTCCCCACTATCCTCCCTGTCGCAGGGAGGAACCCAAGCGCTGGGCACCCCAGTTCCTTGCCTGGCGTGTAGCCCCACGGCTCATAGTAGGAGGGGAAAACCCCTAGGTGGCAGCCTCGGACGAACTCTTCGTAGTCCACGGGCAGCAGGGGGCTGGTGGAGGACAGGAACTCGGGGTGGAAGATGACCTGGGGGCAGAGGGGGGGGGGTGTTACCCCCGGCCGGGCAGCACCCCCCTTGTCCCTCCCCCGCGGGGCCGCCCCCCGGCTCACCTTGACGCGGTCAGCACTGCTGTTAAACAGACCGAGACGCCGGATGGTGTTGAGGACGGGATCCGTAGAGTCGTCCAGCATGTTGTGGGTGCAGACGGGGGGGAAGGAGTGACGCTAGGACGGACAGACACCTGTCAGGCGGGGGAGGCTTCGCCGTCGCAGGACTGGACCCAGGCGTCCGGGCTCCCAGTCCCCACAGCTCGATCCCATGAGACCCCACTCCCCTCCCAGAGCCAGGATTGGACCCAGGAGTTCTGGCTCCCAGCCCCTCCCTTCCCCCTGCCCTCACCACTAGACTCCACGCCCTTCCCAGAGCTGGGGATAGAACCCAGGAGTCCTGGCTCCCCCCCTCTGGCCTCACTCCCCTCCATGAGCTGGGAGAGAACCCAGGAGTCCTGCCTCCCCCCTGCCCCCCTCTAGCCTCACCACTAGACCCCACTCCCTTCCCAGAGCTGGGGAGAGAACCTAGGAGTCCTGGCTCCCAGCCCCCCCTGCTCTAACCACTAGACTCCCCCTCCCCGACCCTGACTTGGGAAAGAACCCAGGCGTCCGGGTACCTGGGTGGCGAATATCGCTCTCTTCATCATGGTGAAATCCTCCTTGTCCAGCATCTTGTTCATGTCGGGGAGGTTCCCGCTGGGGGAACGGAGGGGGGTTAGTGGGGGCAGAGCCCAGGACTGGACACCCCCCAGCTCCCTGCACCCCAAGGTGCCCCTCACAGCCCAGAGCCCCCTGCCCCATATAGCCCACCTGCCTCCCCCTCGCTCCCCAGCTCCCCACCGGCCTTCAGCTACAGGGAAGCGGAAGGGCCAGCGCAGCCCCCCCCGCACCTCACTGCTGTCCCCCGGGCCGCTGAGCTCAGGGAGCCGGGGGTGGGACTTACACCAGCAGCGATTCATACAACTTCTTCCCAAACTTCTCCTTCACGGCATTGGCTGTGTCCCTGCAGAGACAGAGAGAGAGGGAGAGATCCTGGGAGTCAGGACTCCTGGGTTCCGTCCCCAGCTCGGGGGGAAATGGGGTCTGGTGGCTAGGGCAGGGGGGAGCCAGGACTCCTGGGTTCTCTCCCGGGCGCTGGGAGGGTAGTGGGGTCTAGTGGTTAGACCGGGGAGCTGAGAACCAGGACTCCTGGGTTCTTTCCCCAGCACGGGATGGGGGTCTAGGGGTTAGGGCACGGGCGAGCCAGGACTCCTGGGTTCTTTCCCCAGCTCTGGGTGGGGGATGGGGTTTGGTGGTTAGGGCAGCAGGAAGCCAGGACTCCTGGGACCCGTGGGGGGCTCACCAGAGCTGCTTGCGCACGGCCTGCCCCTTGAGGCTCTCCACGTTGAAGTTGTTGGTCCGAGCCGGCATGATGAAGAAGGTCACCACGGTCACCTGGCTGCCGTTCACCTGGGGGGGCAGAGGGATGAGTGGGGGGGGGGCGCCCGGGGCCATTCCCCAGCAGGGATGGGGACTCCAGGAACAGCTCAGCCCCCGTCCCAGAGATGTCCCCCCCATCTTTCCCCCAGAGACACCCCCCCACACACACACTGCCCCCTGCCCAACTAGGAAACCCACCACAGGCCCCATCCACCCTCTCCCACTGCCCTCTGCCGCCAGGGGTTTGTCCGACCCCTTCTGACTGGGCCCCAAACGAGATGGCAGGCAGTGGGGGGCCTCTCACCCGAACCCCCAGAGTGGGGGGAGCAGGGCAAGGGACCCCCCCAGCGGGCAGGGAACCCCCGTTACCCGGAGCAGGTAGTTGAGTCGGGCCAGCGCCTCCAGGAAGATGTCAGCCCCCTTGTTGGAGAATTCGTAGCGCCCGGCGATGAAGAAGAACAGGGTCTTGTCCAGGTTAAAGTCCAGGTGCCTGTGGCAGAGAAACCCCTGAAAGTCCAGCCCCCGTGCCCCACCCCAGAGCCAGCCACATCCCAGCGCCGGGCGAGGGGTCCCTGGATACCCAGCCCCCGTGCCCCACTGCAGAGCCAGCCACATCCCAGCACCGGGGGAGGGGTCCCTGGATACCCAGCCCCCGCACCCCACCCCAGAGCCAGCCGCATCCCAGCACTGGGTGAGGGGTCCCCAGATACCCAGTCCCCCCCCCCCCCCCGCCCCAGCCCAGACGCCAGCTGCATCCCAGTGCCGGGCGAGGGGTCCCCAGATACCCAGCCCCTGCGCCCCACCCCAGAGCCAGCCGCATCCCAGCGCTGGGCGAGGGGTCCCTGGATACCCAGCCCCCGTGCCCCACCCCAGAGCCAGCCACATCCCAGCGCCGGGCGAGGAGTCCCTGGATACCCAGCCCCCGCGCCCCACCCCAGAGCCAGCTGAATCCCCACCCAGGAGGAGTCCAATTGACATACTGCACCTAGCACTGGGTTGAAAGGGGGGGGGAATCTGACCTCACATGCCCCCTTAATCCTCTACAGCACCTCAAGGGGGTAGTACAGAGACAGCAGGTGCAGTATTACCAGCAGCCAGAAGGGGGCGCTGAGGGGAATTCCAGGAGGAAAGAAGCAGGGTTCAGTGAGTTTGGGGCAGAGTGGGCGGGCTGGGACCCAGGACTCCTGGGTCCTACCACGGTGGGGATGGAAATACTGTTCCAAGGTTGTGCCTGTGGGACCGAGCAGGTTGGGGCACCCCAGAAGTTGGGTGTCAGGGACTCACCCATAGAAATGCCCCCGGACGAACTCCTGGATGTGGGCCTTGCTCTGGGCGTGGAGGTTCTGGAACTCGTGCATGGCAGAGAATTTCTTGACATTCAGGCCGTTGGGGGTCACCATATCGGGGGGGGGGGGGGGGGGAGCGAAGAAAAGGGGGGCACCGGAGAGCAGACACGGGGCAGCCATTAGTGGGAAATAACCAGGCCTGGGATTGCCTGTTCTTCCCCACGCTGTTCTATGCGGCTGCTCAACAGCCCCCACGCTCCACCCCAGAGGGGGCGAATCCCAGTGCTGGACGAGGGGTCCCTGCATACCCATCCCCCGCGTCACGCCCCAGAGGCCCCCGCGCCCCCAGCCGGCCCCACACTCCCAGCCCCTCACCGGGTTTTCTCTTGAGCAGGTGTTCGGCTTCCACGGCCGTGATCTGGGACACGGTGGTGAAGACGTGGGTGCAGTGCACGGCGGCCCGCTCCATGCAGTACCGGTGGTAAATCTGCCGGTCCCCGGCCTCCTTGTCCACGTTAAACTGGGGCCAGGAGGGAGGGGGGCAGTGAGAAAGGACAAAGTGGTAACGCCCTGGAGTAGGGCAGAGCATGAGGCGGGGGGCAAGGGGAAGCCAGGACTCCTGGGTTCTCTCCCCGGCTCTGGGAGGGGAGTGGGGTGTAGCGGTTGGAGGGGTGGGGGCTGGGAGCTAGGGACTCCTGGGTTCTCTCCATGGCTCTGGGAGGGGAGTGGGGTGTAGCGGGTTGAGGGGGGGGGACTGGGAGCCAGGACTCCTGGGTTCTCTCCATGGCTCTGGGAGGGGAGTGGGGTGTAGCGGGGTTGGGGGGGGGGGACGACTGGGAGCCAGGACTCCTGGGGTTCTCCCCCCGGCTCTGGGAGGGGACCATGCACCCCAGGGCGCCCCCCACCCGGTGACTCACGGCATGCAGGTTGTTGTAGAAGTCGACGCTGCCCGCGCACAGGTAGCGCCCCAGCAGCGTGGCGTGGGTGGTGAAGATGGTGGCCACCGGCAGCTTGCGGGTACGACACAGGATGAGCCCAACGCCCGCCAGCCACTCGTGGAAATGGCCGATGACAAACGGCTTCTCCTCGCACTGAGCCACGAACTGGGGCGAGAGAGAGAGAGCGAGAGCCCGGTCAGGACGCCTGGGTTCTCTCCCCGTGCTGGGAAGGGGTGGAGGGCTAACCGATAGAGTGTGGGGGGGCTGGGAGCCAGGACTCCTGGGTTCTCTCCCTGTGCTGGGAGGGGAGAGGAGTCTGGTGGGTCAGAAGGGGGTTGGGAGCCAGGACGCCTGGGTTCTCCTCCTTGGCTCTGGGGAAGGCTGCTGGGAGCCAGGACGCCTGGGTTCTCTCCCTTGCTCTGGAAGGGGAGTGGGGTCTGGAGCCAGGACACCTGGGTCCTCTCCTTGGCTCGGGGGAGGGGGGGGCTGCTGGGAGCCAGGACGCCTGGGTTCTCTCCCTTGCTCTGAAAGGGGAGGGGGGTTGGGAGCCAGGACGCCTGGATTCTGTTTGCAACACCCCAGGAAATGGGATGCTCAGGGCCAGCGGTGGGCTGGCCTAGGGGGTGCTGTGGGCAGAGCTGGGGGCTCTCGGGCAGCATTACCCCCCCCCCCGCACCTCGCCAAGGAACCAGGCAGCGAGGAAGCCGAAGAGGACGGCGTCGTTGGCCTCCCGGTCGTACCAGGGCACCCCGATGGCGCAGCTTTCCCACAGCTCCGTCTTCCAGCGGTCCAGGCTCCAGGCCGTGGCCCCCACGTCCAGCAGCACCACGTAGGGGCCCCCCTCGATGAGCCAGCGCCCAAAGTACACCTGGGGGGGGCAGGGGTGAAAGGGGAGAGGAACCCACACCCA